TCTCGTGACAATAGATGGTATGAGAGAAAAGAACAAATTGAAAATTTTCGTGAAATTTGAACTGCAAGGAAGATCGAAAAATAATCAACGTCAATAGACAGTGAAATTGGCCGAGCAGAAGAAAAAAAGCTTTGCATTGGACTGTGTACGAAAAACAACGTATATAGTAATGTCACATTGCTAGATATGTCAAGGTTCTACGTCTGGCGATTATCGTGATAGGTGTGATTATCTTTTGTCGAAATCAGCGATGTTGGATTCAATAACTGTTTGTCGCCATTGCAGATTTTGTAGGAACTGCAAGCGTCGTCACGACTTAATCGCAATTCGTCGTTATATAATTAAAATTTACTGTCGACGTTGCTTCCGCCAAAAATATCCTGACGTTGACCTGAACTCTATATGCCAAATCCTTTAATGACATCGATCAATTTGAACGACGAAGACAGTGCTGAGCATAAACCTTTGTTTCGCGAATATTAATTAATAGCTGAACTTGGATAATAAAAATTATTTTCTCTCTTAATAAAACCATAAAACATTCGTTCTTGATGTGAATTCTATGAAATCATATACAACTCTCGCCCCTCATCTTTCGACAAATTTTTACGGTACAAAGCTATTCCCTAGACAAAATACGATCTTGTATGGCAACGTTCAAGCGTTTTTTATTCTCACGATCTAACTTGCAGGGGTCAAAAAGTTACCTACGGCTCGGAAAGCATGTTAAGAATACACAAAACTGATGCCAGCTTTCGTCCAATTGTATCGTAAAATTCGCATCAATACCAGACATGAAATGTATAATTAACAAGTAAAACATTGTTTCTATGTTGCTAAACAATAATATCAATAATGAAAACTACTTGAAAAGTAATATGCGATTTCAGTCTGCAAAATCATATTGGAAACAATATTTTCTTTAAAGGAGTTTGAAAAGCTCGTTGTTGAAATAATTTTTGATCCATATTACAGAGAAAAGTAAAATTGTTGAAAAAATTTTCCAGAGATTATCAAAAGAGTCCTTCAACTGTTTTCATGTCAAAAGCGTTTTCTATCTTTAAAAAAGTGAATCAGACTTCTTTTCAAAAATAAAAGACTATTTTCTCTAGGAAATTCTTGACAGGCTTCTTTTCGTGTATATAAAACCTTTTCTGCTGAACACAATCTTTACTGTTTTCGCATGCTTCGATATATGAAACTTTGAAAGTTTTGTACGGAATCTATGTGTTTTGGTGACTGTTGTTCGTGACTCTGGACAACACTTTCTAAGAATTTGTGTACATAAAAACGTCAAAAGTATCGTGTTATGATTGTCAGCATTTGCTAATGCAGTGACACTTCACCTGCATATTGGCTTTCGTGCTGTTTTTCTTGGGAGCTTGGAAAAATCGTCTGCTGATAGTCAACAAACTGCGTTATTCTCCATTTTCTTATTCATTATTTGTTCTGCGTAAACGAAAGCAGCTATTTAACCGTCTGTTGTGCAAGAACATTGCCTTTCCTCGAAAAAATCAAAGAGAAGGCATCCACATCAACCAACTTTTTCACTCTTCGTATTGATGACTCATGCAATAAAGACGACATGCTCTTTTCTTAAAGATGAGGTTTAATAGAGTTACCATGATACGTTTCAGATTTTCTTAGCTCTTCACTCTAAAAAAAAAAGGTTCTCCCCATGTATCCGTGAGAAGAACCTTTTAAGGTTTTACATGGAACGTTAAAGGGCTTTTTAATAAACGTTAAGGATTTCTGCTTTCGTACGAAACATTTTTAAGATCTGTGGATGGGTTCGGAATCTTTTTAGAATTTTTGCGAAACCTTCGAAAAGGTTCTTCTCATGGATACACGTGAAGCACCTTTTTAGATTTCCTACTCTTGGCTGAACCCTTTTAAGTTCGCCGTGGTACTAATTTTTTTTAGTGTTTACCTCCCACAGCGGTTCCAGAAGAGCCACTGATAAAATAACCATAGAAATAGGTGTTCGCCTCACTAATATACCAATGGTGTGTGAACAGGGTGTGGGTGTATCTCTTCTCTGATTCCACAACCACACCCGACACCCACACCCACACCCACACCCTCAAGACTGAAACTGGTCACCAGGACTGTGTCAATTGTCTAATTGTGCACATATATGAACATAATGTAGATAGTGATCTAGGAAATCAGAAATTGTCTTGTATTATATTCGAAAAAAATGCCTAAGTTAAAAAATTCCTAAATCAAAATCCCTACTTAGTTACCAGTTTGAATTATTTTCGATTTCATTATCCACAAATGTGGATGTGATTTGGGGATGCATTTAGGGTGACCAGATTTAAGGTAAATAATAATCATTCACCAGCGTATTAGGGTGTGGATGTGGAGAGTGTGGAATGTAGAGTTCGTTGGGTAGGGTCCGAACCCGCTCGGGTCAGGGTCTAAAAATTTCGTTTTGACCGGGTTCGGGTCGGGTTCCGGGTCCAAAAATCTAGGGCCCTATAGGCTCCAGTAGGGTGTGGGTATAGACAAGAATCTATTTATCATCGGTACCCATTTCACATTCACATTTCATCCACACCCATACTCTTAACAAGTCAAAGAAGAGTCTTCGATAGGGCAAGTGAAGATAAAGTGCTACCGTTAAGAATGAAGCATTTGAATAATGACGCATGACTCTTGATGAATAATGTGTGCAAACATAAATGAAACCTTTGTAGCAGTCAAGCATACTGTCACGATAAGATCCATAAATGACGAAAACTCGTTATCATTACTAGGGTGGTTGAGATAACTGAAGAGAAATGATATCTATTCCGCGAAACGCACAGCAACCAACGATCCTTTTTCTCCTTCGAAAAATAGCTTGTAAAATAAGTCCTTATATGATGTTAAAGTTAAAAGTTCTTTCCATTTTATTTTGTGCTTTTATAGACATACACATCAAAGTCGAATAGTAAGTAGGATTCTCAAGTCATAAAAGTCGTATCATTTTTAGCAGGAAACCAAATAAAGCTGCCTTTTTTGTCTCGATTTTCATCACATAGGTATACATTAAAGTTCTCAGTGTCAAACGTACACCTTTTAATCGATCCTTATTCTAGAGCCCATTGGATCTGATTTCGGATTCAAAAATTTTGATTGATCAGGCCTGAATTACAAAAATCTTTTATGCATCTGATAATATTTTCGTAGTTTCTTCTAACGAGGGAACGTTTTCAACTGTCCAATCGCTTTTGAGTTCGAACTGTGTGCATAAGGTAGACCCCAGTGAAGTATGAAAAACCTCAAAAGAATAAGTGCTGTTAGGCCTTCTGTTCAGAGTTATAGGAATTTTACTGGAATTTTAGCCTATGGCATGGTACATAC